TTCCTTTCTCTCTTCGTATATATGAAAAAAACAAATATCTCGTATTCGTCATGAAATTGTTGCTTTCAAACAAGAAAGAAAAAAAACATACTCGGTTATTATAAATTTCAAGGACGTTAATGTTGAAAATTTTCTTTCCAATTTTAATGTGTACTTTGTTTATTATCGTAAAATAGATATAAAAATATTTTTTTTATAACTATATCAATTAATCATGGAAGAAAGTTAAATTTGTTTATTATCCTTCTCATTACAATTAAACATCATTAGTTTCATATATATATTGATTTTAATTTACATGAAAAATTATGTAATAGAAGAAAGTGTAAAATAAAAATATTTGATTCAAATTTCAATTTTTTAAGATGATAAAGATAAATTGAGTGCATTTGTACTATACTCCGTATAGAATGTCTATATCATTCGAATAAATCAATGTTTTCAATTGATTGAAATTGCGTTGAAAGCAAATAGATACAATTAAGATAATCGTTTTTTTTGTATAAAAATAGAAAATGAATCAGTTTATTATAAAAAAACTATTACGTCTATGATTTGATTTGAATCAGTGATATTCTTAATATGGTAATTAGAGAGTGTAAAGATGATATATTTTGACTATGATATATTTTGTTAGATGAAAATATCCGTGAAAAAATAAACTATTACGTTTATTTTCGACTTTTTTTTTTCTTTTGCGCAATCATATTTTCATATGAATGTATTTCAGTAGTTAAAATCTCCAATACTTTCCGCTCTTGTTTTGATCTGAAGTGATATTTAATGTATATATTGCTGTTGATTGATAAATTATTGGATATTTTAATATGAGTCACTGATCTCTGAACTGCATCAAGTAATATAATGAAGTTCTATAAGATTCAATGTGAGAAATGTCTTACACATTTGATTGTATTTTGAAAGAAGATAACAATATTTTTTAACGGTAATTTTACGTGTGTACACTATTTATTTCTCGTAATTAACTTTTAGTTATTTTGTTGTTGTCAGCTCAACTTTTTTTGGTTATCGTGTTACCTTTAAAAAGAAAAATTTCTTATATTATTACATGTTCTTTCTAATTAACAAAACGAAAACGAATTATTTATTGACTACCATTATCTATAGATTTCTTTTGTTCATATATGTATTAAATATGTTTTGAAGTTTGAACGCCAGTAGATACTGTAACGATGTTTGCCCTTATTTTATACATCATTTGCTAGAACTTGAACTGTTGATCAAGAAAAATAACTTCGACTTTACACTCCGACATCTTTCAACGATGGCGCTCTGAATCATACCGAACGTAATGTGTATAGGTCGTTTTTGTAAACGTATTAAATTTCTCTAGGTAAATGGCAAAGTTAAAAATTTTATCTCACTCAACTCATCACACCATCAGTTACAAAACTACCTATCCTTGTTTATGTTGATAAAATCATATAATTCACAATTTTCGATAGTAAAATGTAGTTTTTCTGAAATATAATTTTCATATTTGTATTTAAAATCGAAATCTGAATCGATTGGTATATATTTCATTTTTTTTGTTGATTATTTCGCTCTTTGTTTCAAGTAAAATTTCAAGAAAAATATGTCAATCTATTTAGATTTTGATCCTGAATCCGAATATAAAAATAGTTTATTTATATTCATTTTTTTGGAGCTGAGCTTAAAAGAAGCATTTTCTATAAGGCAAAAAAAGTAGTTTTTCATTTGCGATTAAAAACAAAATCCGAAAAAAAATTTTAATGAAAGTTTGAATTGCTCGTATTGAATATTAACTTTTTCATACTGTTATAATAGAGTATTTATAAGTTGGACGACAAAGACACCTGGATTTATATATTCTTACAGCAGCAGAAAAAAATATTTATTAAAAATGGATTTCATTGTCGGCAAATGCTTGTGTGAACAGATTACTATTTCCATTACTAAAGAAGCATACAGTGCAACTGATAGAACTTATGTATGCCATTGCAAGAATTGCCGTCAATGTGGTGGAAGTTTATCAGCAGTCGCTGTTATAGTTCCTATATCGGCTATTCAAATTACCGGCGAACCTAAAATTTATCAAGATGGTGAAACTGATAGTGGAACGGTGATTCAACGTGCATTTTGTAGTAATTGTGGTAGTCAACTTTATACAACTTCACCTACTATGCCTGGCGTTAAGATTATTAAATTAGGACTATTTGATGATATTCCTAAACCATCAATGGAATTATACTGTAAAGAAAGACCATCTTGGGAAAAACCAATCGATGGAACAAAGCAGTTTCATGCAATGCCTACAAGACAATCATAATATTTTTATGTGATTGATAATTTCTATTAAACTAGCAAGTTTTGTGTATTAATTTTGTGAAGATTATATTGATATACTTTCATTTTATTTTTTCTATTCTATGTTACGTCTTGATGTATGTTTTTCTATTATGCATTCTCTTTTTCATTCCTATTAAAATAAAGTGAATGATAACATATTTTATACATAACAATATGACTGATTCCATATTATCAATCAGGATAGATTTATTTCTCGTTAAAATTTTTAGATAAAATTTTTCTATGTCTTCTAGTAATCAAGATAAGTTTTTATTTTGTACGATATTTATTTCCCATTAGAATTTTATCGGCAATTTCTTCGCGAGTTTCCCAATAGGCCAAACACTGGGTGCTAAAACATTATTGATAGTGTTATTTTGTTCGGTCAATGTCCAAAAACGTGGTTGTTGATCAGTACTGTCCCATGTCCAAATACTCCATCCGATAAATCCATAATCAAAACTATCAATGATTACTTTTTTAATAGCCAGGGCAGCGATGGATGCATTTGAAAAAAATCCTGTATATGCACCTGTTTCACCCATTAAAATCGGTTTTTCTGAACTGAGAGCTGCTCCTGCTAGTTCCTTTTGTGCATTTTCACTAGCATAAACATGTAAATCAATATAATCAGCCAGACTTTGTACTAGACTTGCCGGTCGTAAAGGATATCGATCATCAGCATCTGGTGGTCGAACTTGTACGCCATCGAAACCATCATGACCGACAGCATTAGGAGAGAAGAGACTAGCTGTAACTAGAATTCTTGGTGAAACTAATTTTATAGCCGCCACGACTGTATCCATCCAAATATTACCAGCAATGTCGAGCATTCGTTGACGATCATTTCCGTTAGCCATATCATAAAGAATATCTTCAAACGGTACTAATCCACTAGTCAAAGAAAAGGGTTGTTCACGAACAGAAACTGCAATTTCATTGAAAATATCTATTGCAAATATATTTTGGAAAGCACTCATATTCACTGCTTTGATTTGAGATAAAAGATCTCGAAAGAATTGTGCTTTTGCTTCGACTTGACCACGATGAAAGATTATAACATTACCTCCTGTAACATTTGGTGGTATTGGATATGAATTGATAATTGATTGATAATTTAGAGGATTAAAATCAGCTGTTAACATCACTAATATTTTATGATTTGCTGCACGAACAAGAAAATCAATAACATTCTTTGTATAGTTAAGAGGTACACCAGGAGATGAAAGTCCAAATCCAGCATAGTAAGTAGGGCAAGCAAGAAATACTCGAACATAATTATAACCATAACTTTGCATTTGTCCTAGTGCAGTTTCAATCATCCAAGTAGAGTATAGACTAGGCTCAAATGTTGCATGCATAGATGTGTTAATTAAACGAATGTAATTTGAACCACGGAAATAAGTATTATCATCATCATTTAACGAAGAAAAGTCATGACGATGAAGTATTCGTTGATCAGTGACACCAATTAGACAAACAAAAGCCAAAACAATATACATCATTCAAATAGACTCGTAAATGTTTCTAATATTATTTGTCCTTCGAGAAAGATTCTTTCTTCAACAGTCTTATCTTACAATGATAACTTCACGCCACGTGTTTACTGTCTCTTTCTTATCATATTCACGACATTCATTTCATGTTAACTTCATAACGTATAGACCAAAAGGTTCTCTGATTCGAAAATTTTGCTCAAACAAAATATTAACAAATGATGCGGATTCTAATAACGCTGAAAATTAGATCAACTTTGGTAATAAACGAGTTTTATTTCATTTTTTTATTTAAATAAAATATTGTTTTACATTCATTAATTTTTCTCGACGTTGTTTATCTTAAATTAAACTCATTGCAAAATCAATATAATTGATGATTTTATACAGAACGATCGTTGATAAGTCTTTATAAACCGACATAGAACGTAAAAGATCAGTATACCAATGAGATTGTCACATTAGAACATTCGCAGATCAATCTTCTAAAAAATACGAAGACTCTTCATTGGCCAGTCTTTTAATTGAAATTGTTCAACACGATATTGATCGATATTTGACAAAAGAAGGGTGTGGATGTAGAGGAGATATCAAGACTACACACACACACTCTCAAGATGGTTCATTTTTAATATTTGGTCAAGAAAAATCACAACAAGTTGATTGTGGAATATATTTATTTGTTATGATTTTCTTTTTAATGAAATTTTTCTTCGTTATTTTATTCAAAATCGTTTTATTCTTTAATTTAGTTGTAAATCTATTGAATATTTTCTTAAATGCATTTGTTGGTATTGAACGTGGATATTCGGTTTTTGTTGGTATTAGTTTCAATAAAAATAAGAGTAAATATTTAGCTAAACGAATAACAATTCTTTTATCAATTAGTCATGAACCAATTTATCGTGATATATATTCTAATTCTGAAGAAAATCGTATATTGTGTGTTACACATTATTCAAAATTGATACAAAATTATAATTGAATAATAATCAATGTTCATTTTTTGATTCCAGTTTTAATAAATTTTTTCCACAGTATTTATAATAATAATGATAGCACGACAACGTAATACAAATAATTGTAAATTAGCATTTTACCAACAACTTATTAAACAGTTGAAAGAACATAAACAAATTCTAATAAGTCCGATACTTGTCGTTATTTTATCATTACCAAGTTTGTTTATATCATTATTAACAACATGCATTAAATCATCAAGAAATCCATTGTTATCTCTTATTGGCTATTTTATTTCATTTCTACCATCAATGCTTATGTTATTTACTTTTGTTTTAACATCAGATTTATATTTTAAACAATTTAAAGAATCAATTCAATCATGTTTTAAACGACGGCGATAAGATTATTCTATTAGAAATTAACTTTTCATATATTTTTTTTTGTTATTGTTGCATAGTGAAGAGGCTACCAAACATAAATCTTGAGAGTGTGCATGCTTTACAGGGCTGAAGTGTCAGCTGTTTCCCCTTTACAAAGACTTCTTCGTATGTTTTGAAATCAAAATTAATTTTATTCTTTATAATATTATATTTTACAAAACAACATTTAAGAAAAGTGATTGCTTGAATAATGTGTGAATCTACGAGATGTCTATCACGCTCTTACAAAAAGATGTATTCTTAATTTTTATGCTATATTTAAACATTTTTGATACATAAAGTTTGGAGATTTAGATCTCAGATGGTCTCGACTCGTTTGAAAAATGGTAACGTTTTCAGCATTTGGAGAGCTTTTATTCGTTGAGAAAAACTTTATGTATCAAAAAAGGTTTTTCTTCTTACCCTTTGATCGTTCTTGTCGATAATTCATTTAATTAAAATATTAAAATTGAAAAACATCTTTTTCAAAGTGTGATAGATATTTCGCAAATTCAATCTATAAGACTAAAACAATTTCATAAGCCAATAACAATATCTATATTATAATTAAAAATGAACGCCAGGCGACTTTGTTCCGTTAATAAAGAAGGTATTTTTGCACACGACAATTACTGGAATCTGATATAAGCATGTATGTAGCATTTGGATCGACCCATATATCATATGGACTATTAAGTAAATTCAGTGTGCTGCCTGCTACACCTGTGCTGCTTCCAGCAATCGTGACACCATATGTTGCACCTATTACCCATTTTTGTATGCGATTATTGTGGTAGTCACAAATATAATATGAATTATCCCGTTGAGAGACATGAATGGCTGATGGAAAGTTAAGTTGGTTTGATGCGGTACCTTGGCCATTTCCTCCAGCAACAGTCACACCAGTTAAATTGCCCAAAGCGAATCTTTGCACGCGATTATTCCCAGCATCGGCTACATAGAGTAATGAATTTATTTCGTCAAAAAATAAACCATATGGGGAGTACAAATGTTCGCTATCACTGCCCACTGTTGTTGATAGTGATCCAGCTACAAGTGTCGAATTTGTACCATTTGGATTCCATTTAGTTACCGAGTTGCACTCAACGCTACTGACATAAATATTGCCCAGAGAATCAATAACAATACCAGTTGGATAATACAGATGGAGCACATCAGAACAGCTTGCTGAAGGATTTTTAGGAATAGTTCGATTTGATGGCCAGATTACTACGGAGTTCTGATTGAATACTGTCGCGTATATTGACGATGTTACAGGATTAATAGATAGGTATGCTGGCCAATTGCTATATGTGAATATTTTTTTAGCTGTAAGATTATTTGGCTCAAAAGCAAGAAGAGCATAAGGAGATGCTCCATCACCCACATAGAGTGTTCCGTTATTAGAAACAGCTATTCCCCCTTGAGTATGAAGAACTGTCAAATTTGCACTCGACGTTGGACAGGATCCATTGTAAAAACCAGCAACTGTTGATATATTTGGTTGAATAATCGTGGAACCTAAATGTATGACATAGACAGGTAAATGCAACTGTATTCTAAGTGGATAATGTCGGTCTCAGTTTTATTATAGTAATATAATGTATGATATCGCTGATTATCATAAAAAAACATCTAACATTTCCATCAAGAAACTACTCTACAATTGTTTGGTACTATGTCAGTGTTTACTGTTTTGAATCATTTCTTTAATATAATTTTTAGCCTTTAGCACCCATTCTATAAAAGTTTGATTTCTTTGAACTAAGAGAAATTTACCAGTAAATTTCATATGAACTTAAAGGACATTGCTGTTGTTCTTTGGAGTCTATTGATGCTTGACGGATTCAATCCAAGCTTCTGCGCAAGTAGTACGATTTAGTGGAAAATATAGAAAAGAAAAATGCCAACGCAGAAAACGTAGAAGGGCAAAATTCACTTTTACCCTCATCCTCAAAACATCGTCTGCCTGCCACATTTATCTTTTCGACATTTTTCTATTCTATATTATTCTTTTTTGCCTTTTCCGTCAATCGCACATAGACAACCCTAAGATTGATGTCATGAAGCAAACTATTTTTATGAACTATCAAGTTTAGTCAAAGGCAACGAAGAGTTAAACTGCAATACGATATGATATAGTTTCACTTGGCTTTTCGTATATTTTCCTCCTGTTGATGCATTATTTTGATGTTTCTTGAGATTATTTCTAACTAACAATAATCAAATCACTAAAGAAGCATCTTTTAGACGAAAAAAAATTTTGAATAAAAGAATTAGGCACACAAGTTCGTATTGGTATACAGAAAGATCAATTAAATCACTTTAGTTTAACAGAACTCTTTCTAGAATTGAAGGGTTTTTTAATGATTATATATAACGTATTATGCTTTTCTTGCAAATTCTCACTATCATAGTAACACATAGGAAAGTACAACTCACCAGTAGTAATCACTGTCGTGATCTTATTTATAGCGGTGGTGATTTCAGTGTCAGTGGTTACAGTTGTAGTCTCGATACTGGTGTATGCGGTTGTTTCAGTACTAATATTGGTAGCAGTGGTATTAGTAATAGTAGCAGCAATAGTAGTGATGGCAGCAGTAGTAGTCGCAGTGATGATGTTGCTGTGAGCAGTGGTAATCATAGGAGAGGTGAGTGATGTAAAACCTGAAATAAAGAGTATAAGAGCATTATGATTTTTGTGAGAGTTTCTGTATTAAACCATAACGGAGAAATTCACTATTAATGAATGAAAATCTGTAAGTCATATCTGAAATAAACTTACCATATTCTTGAATATCTAATATTGATATTGACGATTGATTGAGAAATACAAAAGTAGAATTGGAATAAAATTCAATATAAATTGTACTAATATTTGAACGAAATAGTTGACAAGTTTGATTTGTGGAAAAATAATTTAAAGCAGATATTGAATCATTCACTTTTATCATTTCACATATACATTGATCTTGTGTCACATCGAATAAACTATTATACATATCACCAACTATTATATAATCCTGTACTTTAGCAATAAGAATAGAGTTACAAACAGAAAATAATGATAAGAAAAATATTTGACAAAACATGTTGTACTTCTTTACTTTCTAAAATGTTTTATGAATGTTTGACAACCCGTTATCACTATTCTTTTTCTTTTCTTTTCTACAACACTCTTTCTCTTTAGTTTAATAATTATTCATTCCAGAGAGGAACGCGCCATACGTTTTATAACAGTTTTCTTTGTTCAACAAAAAAATATACATCTATAACTACACTATTTTGTTCTTATCTATTTAACTATTTAGTGGATTAAATTCGTCGCCATCAAGATATTAACAAAAGAAAAAAGTATGAACGGACATATTCGCCTTGAAAGTATTCTCTTTTTAATTAAATTCTCCTTTTAAAGAATTTTTTAAATATCACGAAATACAGAAAAAAAACGGTGGTGATAACAGAGATAAACACATATTCTATTGTTTTTTGTTGATCATGTCGAATATTATATTATTTATAATATTGTTTCTCTGTAAATTAATATAGCCTCACTATCTTCTCTAATGAAATATACTGAAATAGAAAATTAAGGCTAGCTTCTAATTGAGAGCATATAACACTGTTTTCTGTAAAGAAATACACTTTTTCGATTGTTAATACGTTTCTTTGAGTTATAATCTATAAGTTTACTTAAAAAAACTATGCACGGTGATACATTTTCTACGTAGAGAAATATCAGTTAAAACAGTGCACATCGTTTAAAAATAGTTTTTTTATAAAAAAAAACTTTATATTTTTCATGAACATCACTCATAACATATACTTAACTACGTTGTTTTAATGGCAGGTGTTTAAGCGCTAAGTAATTTTAAATGAAAACTAAGTAGAAAATTCTATTTTTGCTCAGTGATTTATCGAACACAAGTCTAGGTAGGAAATGTTTTTTACTAAGTAATTTATATAAATTCTGAATGAAACATTTATTCTCTTTCTCGTAGAGAAAAGCCCTGTAAAAATAAATTGTTTGCCTTGGAGACTGCAGAGTAAAAAGAACGACGAAGACCGATTTTCAGGAAAAGGCATATCTTGAGGTATTTCGATGCGGAGAATTCAAATGTGCGCCTTATTTCCTCACACTAGTGAAGGAGGATGCGGATTGAGAGAAGTGTCGTGGACTGATAAAAATCGAGTTTTCGGATAATACATTTTTATGAATATCCAAATGTTTTCCTGCTTGTAGTGCAGAGTGTGGCGATCATAAACTGTTGGCTTTCTTGTGTATAATATTACTAACACTACACTTATTCGTTAAAATAGGCTAGTTCGAGAAGCCACTGGTGCTGACAGCTCGACTATGTTTTGATCTGCGTTTACCACGGAGTAGGATGTGAGTATGTGCTAAGAGTAATAAAAAACAAAGAAGAGTACGGTTTTCAATTGTTTTTCCAGTAAACGTGAAGAGGATGTATTTTTATGAGGAAGAGCTAAGCGAGTCCTTGGAGGAGCGTTACTTGTATATAAATTATCAATAAAAATATTTAGTTTTTTAGGCAAAAGATTTAAAAATGCTAAGTAAAAAATTTGATTGAACAGTTAATTGATCAGCAATGCTTTGGTTGCTTTTCTGTGTGGGTATGGTGCGAATACAATAAACACACCCACCCATCCTCAAAAATTGCCGTTGTATATGTATATAAAACTTGTGTCAGATGACTATCTTCACATAGAGTAGAGTGGGGCAATTGCAGACAAGAAATCAAACTTTTTACT